GGCCTTCGCGGGGTGCTCGCGCGCGCTCTGAACCGCCGCGCGGCGGGGGGGGCCGGGGGGGGGCCGTTCGCCTCCCCGGCCTGGGCGGCGGCGTGCTGGGCCTGCCTGACGGAGCCCGGCGCGGACGATTTTCTCCCCCTCACGGCGGATCCGTTGGCGGTTTTGCTCTCCGCCGACGCGGAGGCGCCGGCTGTCGAAGACTCGGATTTGTCCGGGGAACTGCTTCGTAGTACGGTGTGCACGGCCTATGCCCAATTGCAGACTTTTGCGGCCTCCGGGGGTTTCCCGAATGGGGGCGCCGCCGGGGATGCGGTGGGCCCCAACACCGCCCAAACCGCATGGCAGGCGATCGGCATGCGCGTGCTCGGGCGTCTAACGCGATTGCTGCCCTATTTCCTACAGTTTAATGCGAACCGTGCGGGTCGGCCGGACGACGCCGTCGGGGGGTCGCCGTGGGATATGCCGATCCAGAAGGTTTGGCTTTGGTGCATTGGCATTCTTTGCGAAAAGCTCTGCCAGACCGATCTTTTCGTGCAAACCATCCTTTTCGACCTCAACCACACGCGTGCGGGCGGGGGGGCCGCGATGGCGTTGGGGGGAGGGGGGGACGCGGAGCTCCAGAGGGCCGCACCGGTGCGCTGCCGAAGCCTGGTTTCCTATTGGTTTTGCTCCTCCGGCGGCCTTCGTTTGCTCGAGCAGTTGGCCGCCTATCCCGAGGAGCGCGATGGCGGGTTCTCGGCGGTGGCGATGCCGCTGCCGAATGGGCTCGACAACGCGCCGGCGCAGGTCTTTAATCGGAGCGCGCTCGAGATCATCTGTAGTGTCTACGCATGGCCGCTTTACACCTTCTCACTCGCGAGTTCTTCGCGTCGGCTGGAGACGGCGGCGGTCTTTGCGAGGCTGGTGGGCTCCTCGGGTCTAATTCGGCAGCTCTGGAAGCTGTATGTCCAAAAATGCGAAGGACTCTCCCACATTTTAGAGAATCGCGATCGACTTGATAGGTTTTGTGCGGATATCGCCGAGACGACCAGCCGGATTCGCTTGCCGTTCTGGCCCAACCCCCCGCGAGGTCTGTTGGCGAGTGCCCCGCGCAATGTATCGCCGATGGTGTTTTGGGATCCGACCCCGACCCTGTCGGTGCTGTTTTTCACCTTGTTTTGCTACTACATCGATGTCTCCAACTTTGTCGACGAGCTCTCCCGCGCGATCGTGCTCTCGCAGGCGGAGTGTTGGATGTTAATCCTCGCCCTGAAGGAGATCACCTATCGTTCGCACTTTTACGGGGTGGTGCCCGGGACCAACAGCGAGGCCGTGGCCCGTATTGCGTACAATTGTTTAGTTAAACTGCACATCGTCAACGAGGCCACCGCGTTCGTGCCGTTTCCGTCGTTGTGGATTTGTACGACGACCGGGGAGGTGATGCACAGCCTCAAACGAATGCCCATGGAGGCCTGGGAGGAGCTCACCGCGCGGCATGCCGCCCTTCAGCGCGCGTTGGAGCAAAAAGTCGACAATTACGCCCTCGGCCCGTCTTTTGGCGGCGAGGCCGAGGGCGAGGGCGGCCTGGACGCGGCCGACAGACCCTCCCCCCCCGAAGAGCCACTTCCGGGCGACCTCGCCGAGCGTCCGCAAGGCCTCCCCGGCGAGGATTTGCTCTTTCGCCGGAGCTGCGAATGGGGCGTGGAGGAGCGGTTTGTCTACCTTCTTTTGCACGCGCCGTTTCTCGTTTCCTTCTCCGAGCGCGCGGAGCTGCTGACGGTGCTTTTGCTCAGCCAACAATTGGATCGCTTTCCGATGATGGGGACGACCTTTGTGGTGCGCCGCGGGCATGTTTTCATGGACGCCTTCGACCGCTTCCGAGGCTGCCCCGAAAGCCCGGCGATGTATATGGTGCGCTTCGCCAACGACCACAACGAACTCGAGGAGGGCTACGGGCGGGGGGTGTACCGCGAGTTTATGGTCTCCCTCTGTTTGGAGGGCTTCGCCGTCGAGTATGGGCTGTTTCGCCAAACCGACAGCGGGATGGTCTATCCGAACCCGTTTAGCCGCGAGGCCACGGGGGACCCTGCGGATTTGTCCAAAATCACGTTTTTGGGCGCGATGGTCGGGCGGTCGCTGTGCGATGGGATCCTGCAGGATGTCCCGTTCGCCCTGCACTTCCGGAATTCGCTCCTGGGCCGGCGGAACTCGATGCCGAACCTCAAAAGCTTCGACGATCAGCTCTATCGCCAGCTGCGGTCGCTGGCGGAGCTCGGGCCGGCGGAGATGGAGGCCACGGAGCTGACCTTTGTCTACTCGTTGAATGCGCTTGGCATCACGCGCGAGATCGAACTCATCGGCGGCGGCGCCGATATCCCCGTGACCACCAGCAATTGCCTTCATTACATGCATCTCGTGGCGGATTTTAAGCTCAATCGCGAGGGCTTTCAGCAAACCCGCGCCTTCCAGCTCGGCCTGGAGGCCATTATCAAACCGGCCTGGCTCCAGCTCTTTGACAGCAATGAGCTGCTGAAGTTGTTCTCGGGCGATGAGTCCGGTAAGATCGATATCGACAACTGGAGGGCGCACACGGTTTACGAGAGGCCGGAGGACGCCGAAAGCGTGCCGGTTCGTATTTTCTGGAGAGTGGTGGAATCCCTAACGACTGAACAACAAAGGCGACTTCTAAAGTTTACGACGTCGATGAATCGACCGCCTCTGCTTGGGTTTCGCTTTCTTTCGCCACCCTACAATATTCAGCTACTTCAGCAGTCAATGAAGGATCGACTGCCCTCGGCATCGACATGTTTTTCAACATTGAAGTTACCCCCCTACACCGACTTTGCTACGGCACGACAAAAGATTGTGGCCGCCCTTGAAGGGACGGCAACTTTTGAATTAAGCTAAGAATAAATTGATCTTGAACTATCAAAATGAAAAGCGAATTATGGCGAAGGAACCTGCCTTCAAGGTGCCACTGGATGGCGCGTCAATTTACTTCAGGGGGAGGGCGAAAAAGATAGTTCTTAAGCCATATGTGCAGTCCACCTATCGATATACAAATATCCCTTCATTTACTTTTTTTAATTATTATTGCTTCATTCTATAGGTTTGCATATTCCACTTTTCTGAATTCGGTTTGTACACTATCCGTTAGTTTTGTGTATTCCCTTCTTTTCCCAGTGTTGTAGTTTGATATGCCCACGTAAGCGACAGGTTCCCTTTTCGTACGTCCTCCTCATTCTCGTCATTTTTCATCCTTAACCCTGTTCATTCTGATTCATTGAACACGCAACGAATCCCTGAAGCGACAAAGCGAAACCACACTCCCACAAAAGCGATCCCTTGCGGAATCCAATAAATGCCGACCCCGCAAACGACACCCTTTTTTCTTTAAAAAAAAAAAAGAAACGCGCTCTGTGGATTCAAAAAAAAAGGATGTTTAAACGGGCCTATTATCGCGCCGGAAGTTATCTGCTGAACCAACGAGTGCTGCCCGACCTATGGCAGCCCTTCTACCGCGAGGAGGTCTACCGACGCGCCAAGCAGCGGCTGAACGGTCTTTGCCAAACCCACGACGACGCCGCGGACCGGGGGGAGGCTGGGGTGCCTTTTCAGATTTCCTTACCCCCCGGCATGGCGGAGGCGGAGGCGATGGATTCCTTTTCCCCGTCGGCGACCCCGGAGGACGATTCCGCCCCATTTCCCCCCGCCTTGAGTGCGGATTTGACGATGCGCGAGGCGGACGGGCTGGTGGGGACTTTTCTCTCCCTCGCCAGCGCGGAGGACCTGAGCGCCACGCTGCAGTACCTGCGCGAGGGCCTGAAGCTCGAGATCGCCGGCTTCCACTACCACGCCCTCTTCCGGATCTTTAACCACGCGCAGGACCGGGGAAACGCGATAGAGCTGGTGGATTTGATGGCGCGGCGTGGGGATTTGACGCCGGAGAGCTACGCCCGGGCGATCGATTGCGTGCATTCCTTCGCTCCACAGGACGCGCTCGATCGGATTTTGGCCATCGTGCGGCTCGCGCAGGAGCGGTTTGGCGGGCTGATCTTTGACGAGGTCGCCGGCTCCGAGGCGGCGACCGTCAGCGCGTTTGCGGCGGGCCGCCCCGAAGCCCCGGCGACTTCGGAGGCGGCCGGGCCGCCCCCGCGTTCGAGCCCGGTTCTCACCGCTTTATTACACCATTTATCCGTCCTCAACGACGCCTCGAGCCCCCTCGCGGCGCTGCTGATCGCGGTGTGGGTGCGGGCGCTCGGGGTTCGCTTGTCGGACTGGGATTATGTGTTTATTTGCACCGCTTTACTCACGCGCGTCGAGACCTTTCCGCGGGTGTGCAGGGTTTACGGCGTGTTTAGTGAGTTTCCTACCGGCTCTGTGAGCCCGCAGGGGGTCTTTGAGCGGCTTCGCGAGCGGCAGGAGGGCATATCGCCTTCCTCGCTGGTCTTTCGCCTTGTGGAGGCGATGCGGGATGGCCTCGAGAAGGCGGGGGTGGACCTGGCGAAGCCCGTGGAGGTGGGGGTGGTCAACCTGAAGACGATTGGGATGCAATCCTGGATGAATAAAATTCTCAACTACGTGGTCTTTCACGAAGGTGGCCTCGGCTCGCGGCGGTACAACCCTGGGATACTTTACCACATGCTCAGTTTACTATATAGTACGGTGCGAGATGACAAAAGTGCGGCCGACATGCTTTTGCTAGCCGTGGAGCACAAAGATCAGGTCTCCGCACCAACCCCAGAGGGGCGTGTCCACCACGACAAGGCCGACCCCCTCCGCCCCAATGCGGAGGCGAATCGGCGTCTTGATGAGTCGTGCGGTTCTTCTCCCACGAGTTGCGAGGGTGAATCGTATGGCGAGCCTTTTTCAATCTCTTTTCACCACGTCCAGGACGTCGGCGGCCTTCTTCCGCGACTCAGCCAGCGAACCCGGAATGACCTGCACGACGTCTTCAACCGCCTCGTACACGAGGTCGTGGCGCAGTACCAACACAATCACGAGCCCCAGGGCCGGGAGTTCGATGATTGGCCGGGGCCCGCGGCCCCCACGACGGCCTCCCCCGCCGACGCGCGTTCGGCCCAGGGGGGGGTCTCGTTGTTATCCCCGGCCCGGCCTTTGTCGGCCTCGGAGGTCGCCGGGTGCGAGGGCTACACCCTCGGGGTCCTGCACCCGACCGAGGAGGCGCGCGAGGTGCTGCGTCAGGTGATTTCGCAGGGAATCCCGAGCACGATGCGCGTCCCCCGCGAGACGCAGCTGATTTTCCGCCAACTCGCCCAATATTGCGGGACCCACCCTTTGCCCAATCGGAAGTTAACCCCGACCGGCCTGGAGGAGCGCCGTCGCTGGGGGAAGTACCTCGACGCGCGCGATACGTCGCTTGCCTTGTTCGGCTCCAGCCCGCATGCCCGGGATTCGATGAAGGATTTGTACTACAGCGAGAATACCCTGGCCGCGCTTCGATCGGATGAGATCATCATGCATGATATTACCGAGGTGGGCAACATCTTTTTCCCCCCCAACGCCGACCCGGACGAGTCGGAGTGGTCTTCGCCCTGGCGCTCGACTTCGCCATCGGAGGCTCGCCAGTGGGTTTCACATCGGACCACCCTTCCACACATCCGTTGTTCTTCGCATCTCGTGCCCCCCCACCTTTACGATCCCAATGTGTATAATCCCTACCCTCATATTGCCTTGAAGATCAGTCCGATGGGGATAAACCAGGAGGGGAACAAGGGTGTATCGGAGGCCTCCGATGCATCCTCGACAAGTGATGACTTTTTTGCCGAGCTATGGAGCGTTCTTACAAATGCCGAGATCATGGGCCGTGATTTTTGGTACCTGTATAATACGCACATGTACATGTTGCTGATGCGCTGCTTTCTCCATCGTTTAGATTGGGAGGCGGCCGCCCATCTAACGATCCAGATGCAGGACTACAGCAGCTATACCTACCTCATGGACCACGAATTGACCTCAATTTTTAAGGAAATCGGGGATCCTGCCGGTTGCCTGGCTTTTAAAGTGGCCACTGGGCTTTTTGATGGTCGTATCATGCATGATGGGCAGGTAAAGCGAAAGCAGTTCCACATGGAGCTATCCCTATAGGTGAGGGTAATATCGCCTACGTGAGCCTTATTTATCTAGGCACATCAAAAGGGTTGTAGGGACGAATATCGTGATTTATTACTATTTCCAGTGTTACTGTAAATATATATATTTATATATATTGATAGCACCTAAAGCTAAAAATGATTCAGTGACATATAGGTTTAGAATATTCTGTACCTGTACAAATTTTTTAACTATTCCCTTAAATATAAATATATATATATATCCCCACAAACAAAAGAGCAGGAATATTGACCCTCTTTGTGGCCTTCCAGACGCGGCGTGAGTAGGAATGCGATGGATAAGTCGACTTCCCTTAATCCCCCCGAGCCCCACCGACCGTGTGCGCCTCCTCTGACCCGCACCCGGATTCCCTCATCCCTTCAGGAGTTATTCCGGGGTTATGAGTCCAGCCTCGCACAAGACGACCCACCACGCCATTCTGCCGCCTTTTCGAAGTTTTGGTCCGCCATCACGGCCGGGGAGGCCAGCGCCGATGGGCCCGACCCCGGCCCGCCTTTCCCGATGCCTGGCGATGCGAAGAGCGGGCCTGGGGCATTGGGGGACCCCGGGCCGCTGATTTGGCGGTAC